GGATCCTGGTCTCTAGCAAGGCCTCCTTGTCCTGTGTGCCCCAACAGTGAAGCCCCATTAGCACAGGGAGGCTGAGCACATCTATTTTCCTTGAGGCACAATATGGATCAATATGCAGAATGAAAAGGAGCTTGTATCACAAACTAAATTTCATAAAAATGCCAGAAAAAATACTAGTACATATTTATCCAATTAAAAAATGAAACACAAAAATCTCTAAGGCAGTCATCACTATGGAAAAGATAAAATTGAGGACATAGACACCTACCACACAACAACATCATACAACTGAAAAGTAAACTTTAAATTCACAAAGTTACTTTCCTTACAATGTAAGAAGTTTTTACACAGGGAGGAGTTTGCAAGATAGAAAAACACTAATAGAAAAATGGATACAAACATAGAATTTATAAATGAATGAGGCCCTAGTTAAATACACACTGACCTCAGTTATCAAGTATGAAGTATGAAGGGGTATAGACCAGATCATTAACAAAGGCTATCTTTAGGTTGGGAGTTGTGGATATCTTTACTATATTTGTACATTTTTGGATTCTAAAATTTTCTGTACAATGAACATGCATGATTTTGGTAAGCAGTTATAAAGTGAAAAAACAAGTTCAAAATGCTGTGGGAAATGTGGAATATGGAAACGGCCTCCTCCCACTTGAGGAACATTTCCTAGTGCTACAGGCATCTCTTGTTAATGGTTTCCATGTAATTTACCATTAACATTGTTTAGAAAATACAGTAAGATAAGAAGAGTGGATTCTTACAAAGACTATATACATCCTGAAAAACCTAGAAGAAACCACCCACTACTTATTTAACTTTTTTTCATACAAAAAGGAGTTCTTTTCCTAATTTATGCTTATATAAAAGTTCCCTTCTGAAAGTTAAATAATTCTCTCATCGGAGTATATAAGTAAGTGCAGTCAAATTGTTCAGTAGTTTATTTCTTCTATTATAAAAACATATGGACTAAAATGTTTCCTTATAATTTCTATTTATCTTCCTAAGATAAAACATAACCGTCATCCATTTTTAATCATCATTTAAAAATCTACAAGTTCTCTTCTGAGCAAAAATATTCAATGGGTTTTATTTACCTATATTTTCACTGTTTCCTCTGACAGAAATTCAGTATGAGAAAGGATTTTTGAAATAATTTGATATCCTTCCCCTTGACTGAGAAGAGAGCCATGGTTCACACAGGTTCGATTATGCACAGCTGAGAAACAGGAAAGTCAAGCTAAAAATAACCTATGCAAGGGTAGTTTACTGCTTCTTCAGACTCCTTTTCATTTCAACTTTATACTCATAAACTAGGAGAATTCTTTACCACTAAAAAGAGTAGTTAGACTTAAGTGTTCTAGTTAGTGCTTCAGTACTGGCTCTGGTCAGGATGCGCAGGCGGCCCTGCGGAGGTGATGCCGCACGTGGTGCTGTGAGGCGAGAGCACGCCTGTCCCATCCTGCCAGCTATTTTCACGGACTGGGCACCACACACAGGACCCTAAGTATCTTAACTACAGACTCACTTTTAGGTAGCATGAGTACTAAATGTTATTTTTTTAATTTCCAAAAGAATAAGACTTTTACCACTTAGATTTATAAGTAAGAAAGTGACTTAGAATTTTGCACTTTGCTTCTGAATGGTAGACAGGATCCAGTCGAACCACAACAGTGCAGAATAGGTACATCTTTAAGAAAAACAAGAGACTCTACTTGAATTACATTTTCAGGTCACCAGGATAACATTCAGTGCCCTTGATCTGCCAAACTGTAAGTTTCTTGAAGGCAAGAGAACTTTCTTATTTTTCTTAGTTGTCCCAGGCCTACCAGAGCTCCTGGCACAGAGCCAGCACTCAGCAAACTGTGTCACATGGTGACAGTAAGAACAGATGGGAAGGGTCTGAGGAGATTAGAAGGATTGGCTGCAACCAATACTCTGAGATGGTAGCTTTATGCTGACCATGAAATGTCCAAGATATATACATATATAAATGGTGTAATGCAATAAATTTATTACTTTGTAAAGGTTATTGCTTTGGGTATTACTGGTTATTTGCTTTAATAGAAAATAAAAATAATAAGTAATTTTGAATTTTCCAAAGGCTCCTGGGCTTTATATCTGAGAAAGAAGTTTCTACACAAGGACTTAGGTTTGTAAATATGAAAGAGAATACTGTTGGAGTAAAATATAGCTATGTGCAATACAAATTTTATTTTATACTCTTCATATTTCTAAGGAAAAGAAGGAAAGAAAAGAATTAAAAGTAAAAACTTCCCAAATGATGACCCAACACCGTTTCTAGCAAGAGGTCAAAAACTGAGGCTACAAGAGCTTCAAGATTTCTTATGAGAAACTGTAGTAACAAAAATATTTTACAGTGACTCATCTCATAATAATGCCCTTTCTTCCCAAAGTACACATCACAGTTCCCACATCCCTGGCACATGGGCACTTGGTGCAGAGCTATTGCAACATGAAGCGTCTCCCTGCACTAGTGGCCCTCAATGTCCCTCAAGGTGACAGACCTCCCTAGAGCTGTAAGGGGTTGGGGGGAGGCAGGGCTGTGCTCATTCTGCACCATTCCCCACAGAGGGGGATACTGCCTTTGTGCTGCTTGATCTGAACAGTGGTTCTTTCATGCAGTCACCTTTTTAAGAATGAGGGGCTAAGTGCAGCTGGCTACCCTGTGTATAGACTGAAAGAATCCCCAGGCACAGCAGTCTTGAATAGGTACTCCTAGATTTCCTCACCAACTGTCGCTCAGACACTGGGGATCCAAAAAAAAAGAAAAGAAAAAGATGGAGGAAAAAGAATATGCTACTCAAGGATACAGCACAAGTAAGGCGCCCAGGCTGCTGCTTAGGTACTGGCTCACTCCCTTGTCACCTGTGTCTGGCAAGAGAAAGTTCAGTAAACAGTTATTGGAAAGTTTAAGCTGCAGAACAATCTCCAAAACAGCTACTCAGGAAGCCAATCCCCCAGGCCTTGCCCAGTCAGATGGTCCTTGAGAGCTGTATATCATTGGGTTTGGGCATCTGAAATACATAAGGGAGTGAGAATGCCACCTCTGGAGCAGAAGGCAATTCTGGTAAGGAAGGATTGTTTATTGATCCTTAAATAGCTGAGACAGGAGGGCTCTGTAGAGGTCAAATATCAATGAAGAGAAAGCTCCAAGACAATTGTGGTAGAAGGACTGCTTTGTTGTTGGCTCGCTGGACTATTTGTAAGAGATGGCCCTTTGCTCGACCCAGATATTTTATTGTTGGTAGGGACAAGCGTGGGGAAATGGCAGGCTGGAGGCCTGTAAGGAGGGAAAGCGTACAGGAGAACAGGCCAAAGGGAAGGGTGCACAAAACCTGTGTCCAGGGATGGAGCTGCTCATAGCCCCAGGCTTTAGTTGACTCCTGAATGGGAACCAGCAGGGAGGGATGATCAGAGGTGGGGAATGAAGGCAGCTGAGGAGACAGATCCCGACTACATCTAAAGAGAATCACTCAAAACAGTGAAAAGGTCCTTATGATGTAATGGCATTTTTCTTATAAGCTAACTTGGTCATCTTTGACAGTGTCATCACTAGGAGTCAGAACATTCTGAAAATAAGAAAACTGAACTGGTTCACGTGAAGGGCTCACACCAGTCAACTTCTAAGAATGAAAATTCTTAACATTTAAGAAGTCCTTAAGATTACAGGGTTTAAATGACAGCAGTTACAGAAAATTTACATCTGTATAAATATCAGTGTCCCTAAGGAGGATAATATTTTATTTGCACTGGAATGTTTTAATTCACCCTTACTAACTTAAGATATTAAGTATTAATATTACATGTCATACAAGATCTAATTTTTTCCATATTCCATCTGAAAGCAATATCATTTTCTAGTACTTAATTGTTTTCTTAAACCACAGATCAATTTCTACATTGCTTTGACTCACATAAGCTATTATTACAATACATTGTTTACCAACAGCATTACTACTTCAGCATTTATATGCTCCAGATGAAGGCATCTAAATTTAAATAAGAGTTCTCTGCTTCTTACTTTTTCTGGGTCTCTATTCACCCTCATTGTCTCTAAAAGACTCTCCCTATGTATTTATTTAAGATGAGATAAGAAGCTGGTTTTAGACCATGTGAGCCAAATTTCAAATGGATTAAAGATAAACATAAGTGGTAAGTTAATATTCCCATAAATTATCTTAGAAGCATAATGTCATACTTCACGTCCACATTTAATGTCTGCTACATTTTTCCTCTCATTGTTCAAGTTTTAAGACATATGTCTAGAGAATATGAAAAAAGTTTTGTACAGACAGATTGGACTGTGACTGCACTAAGATTACCCCCCCCCACACACACACACACAAGGAGACCCTCTTCAATGTATATGTTAAGCTTAAAAGACAAAGCTGTAAGCTGCAACGTTACAGGGGTTTTTTGTATCTATTTGTCTGAACAGAGAACTCCAGTGAAAGAGTAACAGGATGTGATAGAGCTTAATACTTAGCATGAGAAAAGAGAGGAAGAAAACGAACCCTATCAGCTAAGAACTAACACACTGGGGAAAAGTACTGGTTCTCATGAAAATGTCAGTGATTCACCACGGAATAAAATCCAAAAGCCACTGACCCCAATGACAGCTTCCAGTGGAAACATGTGGATTTTGCTTCATTTCATTTACAGACTTTGCTTTATTTCATTTAAATCGCACAATCACAATTTTTTTGTTAAATGTTGCTTTCTCATTTAAAATTGATAGGGAAAAACACTGCTGATAAGACTAAGTTTTCAAGAGGTCTTAAAAAAAAAACCCTACACATCAAATAATCAATATTATCATGCAAAGTAGGTAGGGTATTTTTGATCCCTGAAGACATGTATTAAGTGCTTAGTAGTTAAATGACAACAGAAAAAATTCTTTAAGAACATTTTTTACAATAAATCAATAGTTAAGCAGCTTTGTTTATAGAATTTTTTGTACATACCAATTCTTCATTCTGTGTTGAAAGATCATGACTGCATGAAAGCTGACTTACACAGACCACAAATCTATCAGGGAATACACGAAGTTCTGTACAAAATAAAGACAACCAATTACTAGGCATCAAAAACCAATGAACACAGAAATGCTTGGTGCCAGATTTTTAAGTTATAGCTGTAAGCATGTATGTATGAAACACATGTGTCCTCTCCCTACCTTTCAGTCTCTGTCACCTGTAGGGTAGGGCAAGTACAAAACTCTAGGAAATGCAGGGGAGGCTGCAAATTGGTCCACCTGAGCCCCTGGACCATTACATCACATGAAACCCCCAGGCAGGGCCTTTGCAACCATCCCTCTGTGTCAGTTTGCTGTTGTTCTGTTCAGAATTCGCATTTGGGAAATAACATCAATGTTTCTAATTCAAGTGAAGGCTTAAATAGGAAGAGGAAGAATATTAGATAAAATCTGAAATTGTGACTTGTGAACATTCTTATTAGTCTCATTTGCCTATTGTATCCTTAGTCAAGTGGTCTTAGAGAGGCCCCTAAAGTGGAGGGCAAATTTTCAATCCGAATCAGGCTATATAAACAGGAGTTTCATTAAATAGGAATTAATAGTCGAACTATTGAGGAAGTGGTTAACTATGCAACAGTAAAGATAACACAATCACACCACAATCACAGTAATCTAATTATTACAACTTCTTAAAGCAAAAGACTTCTGGGTGGGGAAGGCTGAATGTCACCTGTATCTCTCCTTCTCTCATCTGTCCGTCCCTCCATCCATCTGTGGGTCCATCCATCCAACCACCCAGCTTCCACCTATCCCTGGAGTGATGTTAAGCTGATGCGAACTGAGTATTTTCTGGGTGGTTGGAGAGGATCTTCTCCTCCCTTCTCTATATTTCATTGTATTGCTTGAATATTTTTGTAATACACATGTATCACATTTATGATAGAAATAAAGCCCTTTTTCTAAAAGACAAAACTTCTCTTTTAGATGTGACCATGTTTTTAAAGATATAAATCAGGTAAGAGAAGCCTTTTACATACATTGCACATTTCCAACAACGAATGACAATGTGAAGGCACTAAGGTCATAGCATATCTCAATCTGATGCACTTGGAAGCCAAGCATGAAGGTGTCAGTTATGTAAACATAGAACCTGAATACGGTTAACACCTTATACCACTTGGTTAGGTTAAATTATAGCAAAACCCTAACGAGTTGATGTTCCAGTAACAGCTCTCTCTTTACCTTTCACTTGGACTACTGCTGTCTCCTTGGTGGTGGCTACTCTTCCCTATTCCAACTTATTCTGCTAAGCACAAACAAGTTACAATTCTAAAAGTAGCTCCACTTAACCATGTTCAAGCCTCTATTGTGGCTCCTTAGTGCTCAACACATACCATACAAATCTTCCAAGCCCTCCATGATTGGGACCTAACCTGTAGCTTTGGTCTTACCCCCAGAAGTCTTCTTCATATAAAAACCCCTATTTCAGAGATCCTGAATATATGCTTAAACTTTCACCCCTTGTGATGTCATACATATCACAGGTGACCAAATATCAGGTGACCAGGAATGCACTTTGAAAAGCCAGAAAACCAAAATTATCAAAGCCGTTTTTATTTATCCATTAATTCTTAAACTATCTTACTGAAATAAGTGATAAGTAGTCAGCTTCCCACTTATGGAAGGAGAAATAGAGTCACGGAGTTCAGTATTTGCCACTCACTTTCCTCGCCAATTATCGTTAACACTGAAGTACAACTGTTGGTGGATCAGAATTAAAATTCAAAATGGTCAGTCCTATCATTATTAGAGGATCAGAACCAGAATTCAAAGTTAATCCATTCTATCAAATAATTCCTGTTTTATTCTTCCACTTCTTTCTCTGAAAAATAAGAAGAATGTGGATTCTGAACATGTTGGTGCTAGGTATTTTTGTAAACAGAAAGCAACTTCTATATCCTTTTAATAGGTCACATTTGAGACTTGCATTACTTTAATATATAAATAAAGATTTAGGCAACAGCAATCTCTACCATGAAGAGTAGCTAGGCAACATTTTAACAGATTCAGGTTAACTGGCTTACTTTACTAGAGGAACTGAGTGAACTGGAAGGCACCATTAAGAGAGTAATATATGCAAGTGACATGTAAAGTTAAGAAAGTGTAGATAATTGTGAAGATTCCAAGAGCAAACCTCCATATAGTTAAAATCCCCATTTTAAATGTTTAAAGTTCCCGTTTCATAGTTTAGATACTAAAATCATCCAAGGAAGTTGAACTAGATTTTCTTTCCAATGCTCAGATCACCTAGGAGAATGATCATTAGCATCTGACTTTATTGTTGTTGGCTGGATATGTTTGACATCATTTCCTTAGTGGACATCTTGACTTGGGAAAATAAGGGGAAGCTGGCCTCGCCACACACCTAGGAAAGGCTCTGACAGCTCCAGGCTGGGAAAGCATTTTCTTGTGCACACACTTGCTCCATATCCCAGGGCTTCAGTGTGCAGAGGCAAAGATGAAGTGATGCATAGTTTCACTCCCTGTGAGTCACTCTGGAAGCTTAGTGAAAGTGCTGAGAGTGCAGAGAGGCAGCAGGAAAGCAAAGTGTAGTGTGACCCAGCTCACTGCTGTCAGGCAGGTAATAAGCAGTGAAAATTAAAAAAGAAATAATCACAAATGTTTGGAAATACTTTTACTTAGTACTTCAATACCATGAAGGCAACAGAGCAGGCAGGAATCTTCATTCCTTAATTTTCTTTCCTTTCTAGGGTAAGCTAATTGTACAAAATGTCTGACAGCCCAAGAAATCAGTATCTTACCAGGATTCTGTGAACCACCAAAGCAGCGAAGGCGTATACCTCTTTTGAGGAAATAGGCTGTGATTTGAAAGCCATAACCTGTACAGTAAAAGAGGACATCATTAGGTTACAAGCTTGCTTGCCACTGAATCCCATGGGCCAAGCCCAGTGCCTGTTATCCATTATGCATTCAATAATTATTTAGCTAATGAAAGAGTACAAGAATCAATAGAGGGTCTCACCTGAGAGGAAGGGGTGAAAATTACAATCTTGGCTCTTCTAGGAGGCCTGGCCATAGCACCTGGGAGGGTCCCTATTGCCTGAAGTGGCTCAGTCACTTCATTGGTAAAATGTAATAAATGAGGAGGCCCGACAGGCCTAAAAACCAGGAACTTTATAGAGGGTCATTAATTTAGACTAAGTTGGTATATCAAATGAGACTTTTGATAGTCTCATTACTTACAAGCTTACAAAAGAATCATTTAATATCTATAAATAAGTCATTCTAATTCAAGTACAGAAAAGCCTTTATAAAAATGAGATGAAAAAAATATATATAAGCCAAATAAAAGAAAAAGAAAATCCTTCAATTCATGAGAATAACATAAGGAAAAGGACCAAGAGCACCAAGTATTGGCAAGAATGTGGCAAAGTAACCTTCTCATACCCTGCTGACAGAAGTACAAGTTGATGCAGCCACTTTAAAAATCTGCTTGACTATCTGAAGTGGAACTTAAGTGTGAATATACAGGTGCTCATAGTAACACTTTTCACAATAGTCCCAATCTGGAACCAGTGCAAATATCTACCAATAGAATGTTTATTAAAAAAAAAAAGGCAGGGGAAGCCAGTCACATAGTGAAATACTACACTGCCCCTAAAAATAAATGAGCTAATTAAAACTATTGGCTATATCAGAAACAAATCTCACAAACACAATGTTAAGTGAAAGAAGCCTAAATTCTATCTATAAAATGGACATATTACCATGAATCTTACAGAATGGCAACAGAATTTCACGTGATTCACAGAAAATACAAGCTGAGTTCCTTTCTTTCTCCCTCCCTCCACTTCCAGCACCCTCTAGGTAAAAATTACTCTTGTTTGATGACTTCCCTGAAAATATTAAATAAAAGTATTCCTGTTAACATGGTTAAGTACTTGGTGGAAGAACCAGAAGTGAAAGGCCTGCAAAAGAGGGGTGAGGGTCTCCGAGTTCTAAAATAACCTCAGAGACAGTATTTTATCCATAAAATTGGAGAAGCCAACAGTTGCAAGAGGTGGTCTCGCGAGGACCATCAGATTCTTCAAAGTCCATAACTATGAGGTTTTTTTTTTAATAACTTGTATATAAAGAAAACAAAGAAGTTTCCACTTTTACATCCACTATTCTTCTAACGCTCCTGTAGAAAGATCTAGAGCACCAGTGACCACAGACTTAATGTCCTGTCGAAATAAGTACAGCTCTGACAGCACAATTGCTTTAATCACAGGGGTTGATAAATAATAGCAGCATCTATGATAGGATAATCTCCAGATTAACTGACATGATTTTTTTCCTAACACACTTGAAATAGATTACATTTTGGATATGTGTTTCCTTTGCTTAACATGTGGAATTATTCTGAGTGCTTCTAAACAAATACTTCATTCCTCAGGTCACTGAAAGTGAAGAACTGACTTCTACATCAGTTTATTTGTCCTATCACAAAGGGGAGAAAAACTGTAGCAGAGACGTCCTTTACAATTTGGGATTCACAAACACACACAGAAAATTTTAAGTGATTAAAAAATAATGATTTATAATGTGAGTCTTCCAAAGAACTGAACAACAACAAAAAATGCAACATCTAAGTCATTCTGCCCTTGTTGGCAGATCACGCTTAACACTTCTAGCGCTCAGTGATTAAGTTTCAGATGACATGTTTGAAATGTCAAAAATCTTCCCTGTACAAAATCTCCAGCAATAAATATTATTATTAGGAAGAGGTTAAATCTAAAGTTGACTATGAAAGCTACAGTTCTGAGTTCAGGAAGTCTGGTATCTGGAGATACCACTTGAGTGATAACTAACTCCTACTTGGTTGGCTAAAGAATAAATCTCAATATGACACCTTTCCCTATAGAAAAATAAAGCAGCAAAAGGCAAATTCTAACTAAATGATTTATTACTGGAATTACTAACTGAACTGAATTTATTAAAACCTTTTCCTCTATACTCTCCACCCTCAGGATGGGATTAAGTTAAAAAGAATCATTCCTAAATTGGCCTCTTGTTTTAGTTTCATTGGAAAACTCTGCCTAATGGCACCTACAAGAAAAATGGCAAGTTTAACATGCAAAAAAAAAAAAAATCTGCACCTGCTTATTACAAATTCCATTGGCCATAGGAAAGTTTATTGTTTAAAGAGAAACTTAAGGAGAGATTCAACACAATAGGTACTCGTACCAGTTCTTATGGCAAACTGATTTTGATATAAAAGCAAAAAAAAAATCATTGCTGATGAAATCCTTGGGAGAGGTATTTCATTTATTCAGAGATAATAGGCAATGATAAAAACTATATTCTTATTTTTGCTCTTTAAAGAAAGCAGTATCACAGAGTTCAGCAAGCCACTGAGATTTTGTACTTATCCGGGGCTAAAAGAAAGCTCCACTATTCTCTATAGCTAAATAGCAATTTGGCAAAAAATCCAGGAGGCCCTTTGCTTTCCCTTCTAGGGGTACCAGCTCCTGGCTTGCTACACTGGTGTTCTAAATGCACAGATCTCCTGTTAGTAGAAGGTTGGCGAGGGGGGGGGTGGTGGTGGTGGTGAGTAGTGGTTTTCGGGGTAGAGAGCAAGATGAAAAATCATAAAATGATAACCTTTTCATTTGAAAGTTATTTGACAATGGCATTCCAAGATTTTTAGACACTTGTAAATCATGTTTAAGTGTGCCTATTTTCTTGCTATCTCCTGTGGTCCTCCTAAATCTAAAGACTGTCTTTAGGCAGGAGAGACTGGGCAGTTAGAGGAAGGGCAGCTTTGTGGTAGAAGCATCTTTTTACCAGGAGTCTTCAGATATGTGCATTTCAAGAAATAATTTATATTCCTGCACTACTAATATCACAAGATGTCCAGTAGAAGCAAGAGTCCATTTCCTGCCCTGACCTCTACGTAGTCCCATAAGTTTCCATCCCCTATGCCTCCTGCATTCCGTAATTTGCAAAGAGCTGCTTCTCTCTACCTTGCTACAATCTTCCAACCCACAGTGAAGCCCAAAATGACCTGTTATCACATTAGCTTTCTTCTGGCTCACCTGGTTATTCACCAAAGAACATTAATTTCCAAGAATGAAAGTGGGGAGTAGTCAGTAATATTTATCAAAGGAAGAAAGGATGGTTCATATATAAGGACAAATCAAAGTTCTGCATATTTTTATTTTCTGTTCTAAAATAAACTGCTCCAGAATAGCTTTATTAGAATCTCAAATACTTTATGAATAGAATGGAAAACCAACAATAGCAACAATCAAATATGAGTTGAACAAATTCCATCCTGGCTTTGCAAGGCAGTAAATTAGTTTTTAAGTCATATTGTGCTCCAATAAGTAATAGTTTTTAAGGGAGTGGTCATTTATTGGGATTGTTTTATTTCATAGTCCCAAGACACTGAGAGCAAATATCCATCAAACAGAGTTTACTGTAAAACTATCCAGCCTCACTTGTTTTCCAGGGGACTCATGGCCAAGGTGACTTGAGCTTCCCCCAAGGCTGCCAAGGGGAGTTTGTGGTACAGGTGAAAGCCCTTACCCATGGCTATTATGAGACCATTCACAGGGAGCCTGAGAAAATGCTTTTCAGTGACCTGGCAGGTAAGCACCACTTCACAGTGGGCTCTATCCATCACTACATGGCACTTTCCCCAAAACACAAGGCAGGTTCAGGAAGACTTCTATGAGGTGACTTCTTCATTAGTATCATCATTCACAATCATGAAAATTTCAAATATCCAGAAAAAGAGTGTGAAGAACACTTTTAACTCACTATCTAAACCCAATCATGGATAATATTTTGTCATATTTCATATACACATTTTATAAACCATTTCAAGATAATTAGACATCATAATACTTTACTCTTAAATATGAAATCACAGACTCTCAAACTATAAGGACATTTTCCTACAATACCTACATCATCAAAATTCTGAGATCACAACTGACTATGACATTATTGCTCAAATAACTAGTCCATATTCACATTTTCCAAACTATCCCCCAAATGCATATTGCTGATTTTTCTCCTGAACTGGGATCAAGCCAAAGACTGTGCAATGCCTTTGGTTATGTCTCTTACACTGTCTGTGACGCAGAATAATCTCCCTCTTCATTTTTTTCCCATAACTCTGATTTTTTGCAAGATGATGAATGAACACCCCCTCCCAATTCAGGGTTTAAATGGATATTTTTAAAATCTCAGTTGCCTAAATACAAATTTTCAACCTGCACACTCTTTTTGAATGCCAGTCATTTATTAATTTTGATGACTTGTTTAGCTGCTGCAGGAAAATGTAGGTTCAGACTGAAGCTCTAATTACAATTCAAAGTCTGGAACATAGATGATTTGAAGATTTAGTTCTAAAAATGATTTCAAAGAATCAAATCCTAAACTCACAGATACTTAAAATTTTAGCAAAGGTAAGCTTACCTAAGCAGTTGGATAGTGGTCTCATACTTGTTTTGAGAAAGGGTACTTGGTGGTGATCAGATGATGATGTGCTGACCTAGAACCAGCTTGGTACTGCATGCCAGCCTGTTTGGACTGTGACTGTTTCCAGTCTGAAGCCATGAGTCAGTTCTCATTCTCCATCTTAAGATCTGGGTGAGGTTTGATGAGAGGGTAGGATGGAAGAAGCAGATATCTACCAACTACTGAAAATCTCTTAACATGCTACACTAACTAGACCAGGCACATATAAAGTAATTAAAAGATGGAGTGTTTTAAAGCTATTCCGTTCAGGAAAAATGAAGTTAAAACTCATTACTTTTGGAATTGTGTCCACTAAGAAAGTTATATCTGTCTTCACCAGGAGGCCAAGGGTAAAGATGACAAGTTT